AAGAGCAGTGCCAGCTTCGATGACGAGGCCGGGCGACGTCACTCATGGCACGATGAAGACGATGAGACATTTGATGAAAGTCCTGAACTGAAGTACAGAGAAACTAAAAGTCAAGAGAGTGAAGAGCTTGTAGTTGCTGGAGGAGGAGGGCTACGTCGATTTAAAACAATTGAACTCAACAGCACAATAGCAGATAAATACGCTGCAGACTCCACGCCGAAAAAAACAGCTTTGTATTTTGATGAAGAGCCAGAATTAGAAATGGAAAGTCTGACAGACTCACCAGAAGATCGGTCCAGAGGCGAGGGATCTTCCAGTCTTCATGCTTCCAGTTTCACTCCTGGTACATCCCCTACCTCCGTGTCGTCACTTGATGAGGACAGTGACAGCAGCCCGAGTCACAAAAAAGGAGAAAGCAAACAGCAACGCAAAGCTCGGCACCGATCACATGGCCCTCTCTTGCCTACTATTGAAGATTCTTCAGAGGAGGAGGAATTGAGAGAGGAAGAGGAACTATTAAAGGAGCAAGAAAAGCAGCGGGAATTAGAACAGCAACAAAGGAAGAGTTCTAGTAAAAAATCAAAGAAAGACAAAGATGAACTTCGAGCTCAGAGAAGAAGGGAGAGACCAAAGACACCACCCAGTAATCTCTCCCCCATTGAAGATGCATCCCCAACAGAAGAATTACGTCAGGCTGCCGAAATGGAGGAGCTCCAGAGATCTTCTTGTTCTGAATATTCACCTAGCATAGAATCCGACCCAGAAGGTTTTGAAATAAGCCCAGAAAAAATAATAGAAGTACAAAAAGTTTATAAATTGCCCACAGCTGTGTCTTTATACTCGCCGACAGATGAGCAATCTATTATGCAGAAAGAAGGTGGTCAAAAGGCACTGAAAAGTGCTGAGGAGATGTATGAAGAAATGATGCATAAAACCCAAAAATATAAAGCTTTTCCAGGTGCGAATGAACGAGATGATGTATTTGAAAAAGAGCCTTTGTATGGCGGAATGTTAATAGAAGATTATATTTATGAATCCTTAGTGGAGGATACATACAATGGATCGGTAGATGGCAGTCTGCTAACAAGGCAAGAAGAAGAAAATGGATTTCTGCAGCAGAGAGGAAAAGAGCAAAAACTAAGACTTACAGAACAGATTTATGAAGATCCTATGCAGAAAATCACAGACCTCCAGAAAGAGTTTTATGAGTTAGAAAGCTTACGACCTCCAGAAAGAGTTTTATGAGTTAGAAAGTTTGGATTCTGTTGTGCCTCAAGAGGACATTGTTTCAAGCTCTTACATTATTCCAGAAAGCCATGAGATAGTGGATCTGGGCACAATGGTAACGTCCTCCAGTGAAGAAAAAAAATTATTAGATGCCGATGCTGCCTATGAAGAACTCATGAAAAGGCAACAGATGCAGTTAACTCCTGGATCCAGCCCTACCCAGCACCCCATCGGTGATGATCTGACCGAGTCCACTCTGGACTTTGACAGGGCACCTGATGCCTCTTTGACATCAAGCGTGCTGTCAGGAGCATCTCTTACAGATTCTACCAGCAGTGCAACACTTTCTATCCCAGACGTTAAAATAACCCAACACTTTTCAACAGAGGAGATTGAGGACGAATATGTAACTGATTATACAAGAGAAATTCAAGAGATAATTGCCCATGAGTCACTGATTTTGACTTACTCAGAGCCTTCAGAAAGTGCTACATCTGTCCCACCCTCTGACACACCTTCTCTCACATCATCTGTTTCTTCAGTTTGTACCACAGATAGCTCCTCACCCATTACTGCCCTGGATAGCATAGCCACCGTTTATACAGAACCCCTGGACGTAATCACTAAATTTGAAGATTCTGAGGAAATTTCTTCATCAACTTATTTTCCAGGCAGCATTATTGACTATCCAGAAGAAATAAGTATATCTTTAGATCAGACAACCGCACCAGAAGGTAGAACTAGTGCCGATCATGTTGTGATTTCCTTATCTGATATAGCACCTTCTATGATAGAATCTGTAGAAACTAAGCCTGAGGAGGCAATTGCTGACACTATTTCCACTGACTTATCTATATCTGAAAAAGATGCAATGAAGAAAGTCAAGAAGGAAACTGAGAATGGAATTATTCTGGAAGTTTTGGAAGCTTATAAAGACAAAATGGAGGTGTCTGAGGCTGAACGGACAAAGCAAAGCTTATCTGAAACTGTATTTGATCAACCACCTTCTTCTGAAATGGCTCCCCCAATGAAGGAGCCGCTTTCAACTACATACTTCATATCCAGAGAGATCTTTCCTCAGGAAAAACCTGCATCTCACTTACCCTCTGGCAGTCCTTCTGTTTCCTCTCTGCCAATTAAAACTCGTCCATTCCTTCGAAGTTCTTCTTTGGACATATCAGCCCAGCCTCCTCCTC